ACATAACATGAAAATAGTTGAAAATGGGTTGATTCAAACGTACATTTCCTTAGCTTGACTCATTTCGCTCGTTCGCTTGGGTACCTTAAGTGACTAGCGTGTAGAAATGTGAAAGTTTGAACCTTTGACACTATGCACTAAATACTTTATTTATAATACACAAAAATAACTACTTTTCAGCGGGTTTCGCTTCTTTATAAGCCACATGTCTCTTGTAACTTCCCTTTATGAACCCACGTTCTCCATCTCTGCTATCGAACCCACGTTCTCCATCCATAACACTTTGCTTTGCTAGTTATGCATTCTTTTGGCTTTTTAACATTCCTGGACGCAATTCATTCCTCATGAAACCTCTTTTCTAGTCGACTGCGTCCATAAGCCCAATTGACTTTTTGTGAAATCTCTCTCGATCGAATGCTTCTGTAGTTGACTTCCTATAATTCAGAGTTCTCAAAGAATCTTTGTGGCTTTTGGTTGAATTACTCTTTTAGAAAATCCTAGCCAACAAGAGTTTTAAAATCATATTGAATCGTTCGGTCGAACTGATTGAACTGGGAGTCAGAGAGGTCATAAGTCTGATATGATTGTTAGATTAGGTATGATATTGAACCGGTAGGAACCGTTAGAACCAGCCAAAACTAATGAACCAACAGTTTTGAAAATCAATGGATTCTATGCATTTTCTTCTTGAGACAAAACAACGTTGTTTTGATTTTTTTATAATAAAATTAAAATATATACTTTATTTAAAACTTATTTAGAACAAATTTCTCTCGTTTACAATTAGATTTTGTTCAAAATTTATTTAAATTTGTATTTTGTACTATTTTGTGTAATGAAAATTTAAATTTAAGAATGAACTTGTAAAATTATCGTATTTTAAAATTTTATAGTTGTTGTGATATTTTTTAGAGACTAAATTATCTGATTCGACCGATTAATAAATATATAATTTCTTTCCAGGGGCCAATTTACTTAACCGAATTATCTGACTTAATTCAATTTAGTTATGCAATTCAACTAATAACTTAATAGTGATCAGTCAAGTTTTTAAAACGTTGATGAAAAATATACCTTTTTAAAAGAATCCAATTAAATGTACATATGGAGTTACTGCATAAAAATTCATGGGATTCCTAAATCAAGAAAAGGAGAAAAGGAATATTCGAGCAAAATAGAGGCTATTTTAGAATTTCTTCCTTCAATAAATAAAAAAACAACTTCAATATTTTTTTATTTAAAAAGTAAATTAACTTTGAATATTTATATTAAATCTTTAAGGAAGGACAAAGGTGATCACACCTTTACTAAATCTTAAAAATAAAGAAGAATTTATATAGGAGTCTGAACATCATACATTTGACGAATTAAAAGGTGTTTGGTGAATCCTCCCATCATAACACCTCCTTAAATATAGGAGTTAAAAACTACATTGAACCTTTTGAGATTTTTATAACTTATTAATATGATATACTTCATCCCTCCTTAAATATAAGATCTCAAAGAATAAATTTGGAAATTAAGAAAATTTATTAAAATAATAAATTTATTGATTATTTTGTATAATTTTATAAATTTATCTTTGAGAGAAATAGTTAATTTATATATAACTGTATTTATTATATATTATAGAAAAATATATAATATAATTAGAGATATATTTGAAAAATAATAATTAATACATTAAAGTTGAAAAATATTTTATAAAAAAATATATAAAAAAATTCAAGAGGGTCTAACTATATTATTTTTTATTAAAACATATTTTACACAATAGAGTAGAAAATTAGGCTTTAGCTTTAACATGGTTCTCTTCAACATATGTTATCTTCAAATTTATGAAAGCTAAGGTGATTGTTGATTTTTTAGAAAATTATTATGCAAATAAAGAGAATAATTTAAAACAAAAATATGTTAGTGCAAATTCTTGGAAATTATACTTCAATAATTTAGCCATGGAAGAGGTACATGAATCGGAATCATACATGGAAGAGATATATTTATATATTTGTTTTTTCTAGAAATGCTAATTCATTTCAAATCTAAAAATGTCTTCATTCGATGAAACTCACAATTAATGATAAAGGCAAAGAATGTTAAAGGCACACTAATATTCAATAAAACCTGAAGAGAGAATTCAACCAATCAAAGATTTCATCCAAATATTCATATACTTAGTTCAAGTGTGAGTAATTGAACATGGAAATTTCTGAATACACCAACTTGGTTGAGTAACCAAATGAAGAAACGTTTTTTTTTTCTTCTTTTCTAAATTTATATATAAAAAATTAGGTCGAGACATAAATAGAATGCAAGTAGACAATAAACTGCGTCGCTATTCTTTTTTAGATCGTAAAATTAATCTTTTTAAAAATTACATTCATAGATCTAAGAGATACAACATTGTTATTTATAAACCTTTGAACCCTCTGTAAAAGATCAACTGTTTTTTGTACTAGGAAATCAAAAGTATCAAAGACAGATGATATAAAAATATGTTGATTTTCAAAACACGTTTTTTATGTTTGATCATTTTACTGTAAGACTATCTACAATGACAAAATAATTCAACACTCATTTTTCCTATTTTTTACACACCACGTCATCTTCTCTCTCTTCCACCTAATAATTCAACACTCATTCAACTTTTATTCACTACAATGGTTTTGTTTAATAAAATTCAACACTTTACTCCACCACTTTTATTTTATGTATTTATTTTCTTTTTTATATTTTTGTTTTTTTATTATATATTAATAATAATTATCAATTAAAATTAAATCAAAATAATTAAGAGTTAAATAATTTATTTTATTCTATTTTTAATTTAAAAACTTATTTTAATTTTTTTCTCTAATTTTATATTCGTAATTACAAAAAACTTAAAATGAAACGCACATAACTTAATTAGTACAATAGACTCAACTCACAAACAATCTATTTAATCACGAAACATTCCAAACTTTACTCATATATGTTTGACTAGATCTGCTTGCAATTCGTGATGTACATTTGAATCACGCATCACAGATCTAGCACGCACATGATTTGCAAATGCAGGTAGCACATCGGTCGAGAATGGCTCCGGTGTACCAGACCCACTTGCCTCAGATTGATCATAATATGTCCAATGTTGAGAATATGTATCTCGTTCATCTTCAACAATCATATTATGCAATATGATACATGACCTCATGATGAGAGCCAAATCGGCTATGTCCCATAAATGGGTTGGTTCGCGAATGATTTTAAATCGAGCCTGCAACACCCCAAATGCACGTTTGATTCCTTCCGACATCCCTCCTGATATTTTGCAAATAACTTATCTGGTTCACTTTGAGGAAGTCTAATTGATTTGACGAAAGTCGGATAAGAAGGTTAAATACCGTCAACAAGATAGTATGCCATATTATACGGACGTTGATTCACAAAGAAGTTCACTCTTGGAGTTTTTCCCTGTTCAACATCATCAAACACGGGTGAACGGTCTAGAACGTTTATATCGTTCAATGTGCCCGGACATCCAAAGAAGGCATGCCAAATCCATAGATCATAAGTTGCAATTGCTTCAAGAATAACAGTGGTGGTTCCCTTATCTCCCAGAGTAAATTGACCTTCCCATGTTGTAGGACAATTTTTCTATTCCCATTGCATGCAATCAATACTCCCAATCATCCCCGGGAACCCCCTCATTTCACTAACATGTAGTATTCTTTGTAGATCATCTTGAGTTGGGGATCTGAGATACACTGGCTCATACAATTGTATGATTCCTTTACAGAATCTACGCAAGCACTCTAATGTTGTTCTACCTCCTATTTTAATATATTCATCAACCGCATCGGCCGCCACACCATATGCTAACATCCGCATGTCTGTGGTACATTTTGCTAATGGAGATATACCTTTTTTTGTTGCGTCAACTCTTTGGGTGAAGTAGTTGTCACTATTAGATATTTCCCCAACGATCCTAAAGAACACATGTTTTCGCATCCGGAATCGCCGACGAAACATTGCATCGTCATATATAGGTTGGTCTGCAAAGTAGTCTTCTATTAGTCTTTGGTTTGTCGTTGCATGATCTCTATTGAGATATTTTCTCTTAACATTAAGTGTATATCCTTCCTCTATTTGGTTCCGTTGCTCCCTGAACCGGTTGACGATATACCTCTCTTCGATTTCAGACTGCCTTTTGTAAGTTTCGATATCAAAGGGAAATTCTGAAGGATCCATTGATGTTTTTTAGTAATATGAGATTTTTGGTATTGGTACATTAATGGAAGAATGAATCTCCATTTATAAGATTAGTAATATCATATTTTTGGTATTGGTACATCAATAATATATAAGAAACTATGTGATAAAATAGAAATCAATATCTTGATAATATAGATAATAGTAGACAAGAAATAAAATGACAAAATAGAAATCAATATCTTGATAATATAGATAATAGTAGACAAGAAACTAAGTGACAAAATAGAAATCAATGTATTGATAATATAAATAATAATAGGCAAGAAACAAAATGACAAAATAGAAATCAATATCTTGATAATATAGATAATAGTAGACAAGAAACTAAGTGACAAAATAGAAATCAATATCTTGATAATATAAATAATAGTAGACAAGAAACAAAATGATAAAATAGAAATCAATATCTTGATAATATAGATAATAATGGACAAGAAAGTAAGTGGCAAAATAGAAATCAATGTCTTGATAATATAGATAATAGTAGGCAAGAAACTAAGTGACAAACAATGTCTTGATAATATAGATAATAGTAGACAAGAAACTAAGTGACAAACAATGTCTTGACAATATAGATAATAGTAGACAAAAAACAAAATGACAAAATAGAAAATAGAAAATAGTAGATAAGAAACAAAATACAAACAATGACTTGACAATGACTTGACAATGACTTGATAAAGACTTGATAATATAGAAAATAGTAGATAAAAAACAAAATACAAACAATGACTTAACAACATTTAATTTCCAAACAGATCGCGACCCAACTTTTCCAACAACTCTTTGCTCCGGTCATCAAGATGCTCCTTTGAACTTAGCTTCATAGACATCTTCATCTTCTTAGCCTCAGTACTTTCTTTCAACAATTGATTAGCTTCCTCTTGCCTCATGGCTATTTTGTCCAATCGTTCCAACTCTTTCTCCTTAAATTGTTTAAATTCATTTCACTCTTCATTGACCGATTCCAAGGCTGCGCCATTGCTTTTTTTTTTACCCTTTTTTTGTTGCATTCTTCCCCATTGGGCGAGCACTAGATTCTACGGAGTTGGAATCACTTGCATCACTCTCGTGGGCTCTCTTAGATCCACTACCTACAGATCCACTATTTCCTCCTACCTGACTATCATAACGTGGTTGATCACGGAGAATGAACCATTCTGACATTAAAATGAAATATCCACTCTTACCACTTAAATATAATTCATGTGCTTTTGTCAATACATCATTCTCAGACCACCCGATTTTTTGCATACGCTTAGCGTTATCATAAGCGTTTGTCCATTTATTAAGTATTTTGTTCATGTAGTTGTAATGATTTCTACATGCAGCTCCATCACGGAGAGGATCAAATGAGCAATGCCCATTACGGTAATAAGCAATTTTACTCTAATATGAATCACTTTTTTGGTTTCTCCCAACAATATTGTCTGTTCCATATTTAATCCACCCACTAATTAGAACCAAATTTTGATCAATGGTCCATTTGGGGCTTTTCCGACGAACAGGAGTTGAATCCTCTACATTTGGAGTGGCTCCATGACCACCGCTCATGCCACCAAGAGCCGTTTGTGTAAAAAAAATCAGGAAATTCATCAAGTCCAACATTAGGAACATTTTCATTTCCCATTGGAGTAGAAGAATAATAAGGTGATGCTTGAGATGAATATGACATCATAGATCCATAATATGGACGATAGTTTGGATTAGATGACGACATTATGAAATTTGGTATATTTTAGGGACCTTGTTGGTTGGAAGATTGATTTTGAAATATATAGTTGGGATTTGGATAGTTGAAAGGATAATTAGTAGAATTTTGGGTGTTAAGAGGGTTATTGTTGGGATCTATTTCACTAAAAAATTGTTTAGAGCTACAAACAATAATTTATTAGAAGTTAAATAGAAAAATTAGAGAGAAAAAATAGATTTTTTTTTCCGTCCAAATCAAATGAACCAAGGCTCTATTTATAGACAAAAAATGATAATAAATTTTGGTGAAAATAAAAATAAATAAAAAATTGATTTTCTATAAAATAATTGACTCGAAATAATTTAGGTGAGATAAAAATATAAACAATCACAACAATCAATTATATTTTGCAAAGTATTATAACTCGCTCCTACTTATTTCTCATTCAACATGTTGAATATTTTCAACACAAATTAATTCATGTCACATTCAACATCTTATTCAATAATTCATTTGAGCAATTCAACTATTGAAAAATATATTCAACACCCCCATTACAAGTAGTCTAAACAATTTTGAGAAATATCTAAGAGTCCTACAATAAAATTACCATCCTTCAAACCCACTTGTGAAGAAATTCTCGTTAAATTGAAACAAGTATGTTTCTCTCTTACTCACTCATACATCAAAATATTTATTGCTCAATATCAATCTTCCTTCAAATAAATTAGTCAAAATAAATTACTTACAAACGATGGAATCAAAATAAGATAAAATAAAAGATAATGTGCTTTTTATTCAAGATGTCTAAACTTATCAATTTTGAATATACCAAATGTAACTCCTACAAGAAGTCATGTTATGTTCAAGACTTAACTCAAAAATCATATCAAGATTTATAACACTAACAATAGGTTTAAGGCCAATGATTAATCTCTTTCTAAGAACATTTTAATGGTAACAATTGAAATGGGTAATCTAAATCATTTTATGTGGGATCAAAATGTTACATAGGTTTTAAAAAATCTTTCGTTGATTTAACTTATTTTTATTTTAATAAGTAATTATTTGTAAATAATTTAAATTTGACCCCACATATTCAATATTCATTAGTGAGTACAATTAATTTTATTATTTTAATATTAATTAATTTGCAAACAGTATTAGTTATCATTGACTATAGAAAGCACGGTATACTATAATTATTGTCACATAGATTTGATCCAATACTTTAAATTATAAATACCAATAGTTATAACAATAAAGTAATTGCCAACATATCTAGGGGTGGACCCACTTGAAGGCAGGGTGTCACTCTAGCTACATTAGATTTCTCAATATATATATATATATATATATATATATATATATATATATATATATATATATATATATATATATATATATATATATATATATATATATATATATATATATATATATATATAAGAAAAAAACACTATTAATACTCACTTCATTTTTCTCTCTCCTTCAATATCTATTTCTTTCATTTTTCTTTTTCTCTCTCACATAGTAAATTTCTTTTCTATTCTTCTCAAACTCCATTATCTCTCTCATATTTGTCTCTTGCTTTTATATTTCTTTATCTAATAATCTTTTATTTTTTTCTCCAATTTTTTCAATTGACTTGGTTGCATTTATATTAAAAATTAAAGATAAAGTAAATATTTCAAATTTCTCTCATCTTTTTCTTAAACCATCAAATTTATCTCTCATATTGTTAGCTCTGTCATATTCTTACCCCCTAATATTAGACATACTCAAGTCATTAATAGACAACAGCTTTTCAAGTATCTCCTTAAGTGACTTAGCACTTGTTTCTTTAACACTTACAACGTCAAGAAACCTTTCTTTTACCAAACCTTCATTATTAACATAGCGAATAACAACAACCATTTGTTCTTTATCAGGAACATCACCAGATTTATCAATCAAAACACAAAACACATTATCTGCAATATCACATATAATTTGTTGAGTTATTTCACATGCACAAGCAGCGGCAAGATCCTTTTGAATCTTAGGGGCGGTCAGATTATTTCCCGGAGCACAATTTATTACACTAACTATCTCTGGGTTAATTTTCTTTAAAGTGTCCATAACTTAAGAAATGACCCCTTAAATGAAGAGTTAAGGGACTCGCCACTCCCTCTAAATGGCATGCCACACCTCTAGAGAAACTTAGTAGCTATAAGGGATGTGTTTACACTAACACAATATTCAACATTCATTTGCTTAGTTTGAATTCGTGAGAGCATAGTCCATATGCACACAATCAACATGATTATTGGAAGAAGTAACATGATTAGCCAATTTGTGAGCATTCTTCCGGTCATCAAAATTGTCTTCCACAAAGTGATCTCCCCATATTTAGAGACATTTTTAAACAAAAAATATGGCAAACAAAATGCTAGATCCTTAGATTCACTATAATCAATCCAATCATACAAATCAAACCAATATTTGCAAAATTGACGTTTTTGTTTACCTTGAACAAACCAAGAGTAAATGATATTGTGAGGAGGTTGATGACGATCTATTTTTAAATAAGTTTTTCTTATCTCATTTTGGATGTCAGAATGATAACTTGAAATTGGAAGTCTAAATCCTGTATTTGTTTCCAATAATTCATAATCAACAACTTTGATACTCTCACTTGGATGTTGAGTTTCTGATGCTTCTAGATTAGCCGAAGAAGTAATTTTGTCTCTAGAAAGTAGCGGGAAATTTTTTTTCATCCTTTAAAGAGAACAATGAAACCAATTGATTAGAAAGAAAATAATTTATGAGAAATTAAGAAAATTAATATTTTTAATAAATTGAGGTTTTAGGGTTCAACTCAAAAAGGAGAAAATAATGAGAGAAATTTGAAATACTCACTTTATTTTTGATTTTTAATCACCCACAAATAAATGCAACCTAGCCAAATAAAAAATTGGAGAAAAAAATGAGAAATTATATTATTAGAAAATATGAAAGTAAGAGACAAATATGAGAGATGGTGGAGTTTGAGAAGAGAAAAAAAAGTTATTGTGTAAGAGAAAAAGAGAAAAGTGAAAGAAATAGATGTTGAAGGAGAGAGAAAAATGAGTGAGTATTAGTGGTATTTTTTTTCTTTTATTAATTAATTTAATAATAATATAATTTATGTCATGTCATCTTCATCGTGATCAACTAAATATATACTCTAATCTATTTTTAACAATAGTGTGTGTCGTGTCACCTCATTTTTCTTTTTATTTTGTAATTTCAGTCATTAAGACATACAAAAACACACTAATTTTTACGTCGTGTGTTTTAAAATATTAATTTTAAAATACATTCGAAAATACACATTTTAAAAGATATCTAATATACGTAAAATTTAGAGACTCGAATTTGAAGCGGACTTGATTCTTCTACATGAATGAATGTAGAGTCTCATTCAAACAATTGAATATATTTTAATTGTAACTTATAAGAACCGAAAATGGTGTTGCTTCGAGACAATTCAAGAAATATTTAAGGTTAATAGAAGGATATATCAAGCACTTCAAATGAAACTTGTGAAAGAAGTCTTTAAGGTGGTTAAAAGTTTTTTTTTCTTTTTTACGTAAAAAAATGTAATATTTTTACGGAGAATATTAACTTGTGTATTTAGAGTACAAGTTAAGTTGTAAGAGGTAAAAATATTTGTTTTTAAATTGACCATTCTATTTTTTTAAAGTTAAAATATTGTTTTTTCAATGATAAAATTTTATACACTATTAAAAATATGATATTTGAGAAAAGACCCTTACATAAGGTATAAAAATAAATGATGTAAAAAATATTTGTCAAAAGATTTTACATCAAATTTTTATTTCTTGAGATATAGAAAATATAATTTAGAGGAAAATATAACAAGGTGACATTTTCGTAAATAAAATGAAAAATTTTATAAAGAATTTTACATCAAATCTTTATTATCCACCGATATAAAAATTATAATAATAAAATAATACAAACACGGTGGCAGTTTTATAAATAAGTTGCGTTTTTTTAATCAAAAAAGTGGCCCTTACATCGGGCCATACACCCAACCGATATAAAAGAGCGTTTTTGTTATAAAAAAAATTGCCCTCTCAAATTCACAAAACCCTATTGTGACTATTCATATGTTTATTTCGCAAAAGGTAGCCGCGCTTCATCTTTTTTCGCTCCGCACCCAACAACCCTCTGTCTTCAACCTTCTCCCTCCGCCCTCCGCCTCCGGACGTCCTAAATCGTCCTAAACCCTTCTCCCCACACCGTCCTAAACTGTGTTCCTCCGCCCTCCGCATCCGGACGCGAACCAGTTTCGCACAGCCGCGCCTCCGCTCCGTCCATTTTCGCACAGTCGCGCCTCCGCCTCCGTCCGTTTTCGCACAGCCGTGCCTCCGCCTCCGTCCACACCGTCCGGTTTCAGTCTGCCCCGCCTCCGCCTTCGTCTCCATCATCGTCCCACCGTTATTCCATGTCTCTCCGTCTCCCTCCGCCTCTGACGTTGTCCATCTGTTTTCGACACGTTAGATTTAACATTATTGTTACTGTTATCCAAATTTATATTACATTTTATCTAAAGGAATGGATATAAATTAGAACAAATTAAAATGTTGTTGTTAATCTTGCATGCTAACCACCAACAAAGTTTCAATCCCGCGACATCACATTATGTTACAATTTTCATTTTTAAAAGAATCCATTATAGATTCTTGTAGTAGTGTTACTCTCCCGCCGGAAACATTCAAGGACAGTTAAGTATGACGTAATCTATTTCTATATTATTTGTGACGGAGTTTCCTATATTAAGTCATTGTGGAGTGATCTATCAAGTAAAGAATGTTAAAAAAACATTAATTATTAAAAAAGTATATTAAAAATAAAATTTTCTAATGATTTAACTATGTATTCATTAATTTCGGAACATAGGTATGGATCGTAGTTGGATGAGAGCTAATCGATTA